TGCGAGGGCCAGGGGCAGGCGGGCCCCCGCAAGGGCCCACGCGCTTGCGGCCGCAGATTGTGTGCCCCATGGCAGGCGGGCCCCTGCGGGGGCCCACGCGCCTGCGGACTTCCCTTGTCTCCGAATCTCCCCCTCGGCGTACGCCGCGTCATTGTGGGATTCGCGGGGCTGCCGAAGCGGGATGAGACGCAGTGCAATGGCATGGTCAAAGTCTGGCGCCGCGCTCTGTCTCCTGGGGATCGGTTGCGTGAGCTCCAAGCGCGGCGGCACGGCCGCGCGGCCGCGCGCGGCGCGCGCGGGGCGTAGCCGCGCGCGCGCGGGGCGGAGCCGCGCGCGGTTGGCTGGTGCGCTGGGGGCGCGCGCACCTAGTCGAAAAGGCTCTGGGTGCGTGCGAGCCCCTGGGCAGTGTGCGTGGCGTGTGTGGCGCACTAGGCGTGGGGCGTGTGCGTGGCCTAGGCTGCATGCGTGGCTGGGTGCACACGTGGCTGCATGCGTGGCTTTGGCTGCATGCGTGGCTTAGACTGCATGCGTGGCTTTGGCTGCGTGCAGGGCTTCGGCTGCGCGCGTGGCATGAGCGCGTGCGTGGCCTTGGCAGTGGCCTTATACGTGGATCTGGCTGTATACGGGTTCACGCTATACACGGGGCACACTATACACGGGGCTCGGGTTCGGGCCGCGTTTGCAGCTGTGGCTGGGCGCGTGGCCCAGGGGAGGGGGCTGCTTGCGTGACGTCGGGGTCATGCATTGCACGGGCCCCCGTCGAACATCGCATGCGCGTGAATCCGAGCAGGGGGGATGCAGCTGGCTGTGCAGCCTGCGCGACCGCGCGCGAGCAAGGGCGGTGCGCGCGCCCCTTCCCCATGGTGCACGTTTCGTTGTCCGCGACGCTACCGCGTCTCTGCGACCTGGGCCCGTTCTCAGACTCCCTTTGCCTTTTTTGCGGGCGGCTGGGCGAGCCAGCCGCGGTCAAGAAGGATTGGGAAGAGCAGCGGCGGTGCCGGCAGGCGCGCGGATCCGCGGGCGCGCGGCCTCGCGCTACCCGCATGCGGGTGCCCCTGCGCGGAAGGGGGGGGGCGGTGCCAGGCGTGCTTCGGCGGTCTGGCACGCCAGTTCCCGCGCCCGCGAGCGGCCGGTCGCGGCCGCAGCCGGTCCCGTTCGAATTGCCGACGCGGGCCCTCGGACGGTGGACTCGCGGCGACGGTCCTCTTCCCATTTGACCCAGGGGCCGCGTGCCGAGCCCAGCTGCGGTGATTGCCCACAGGGCGCAGGCCAGGACCTGCTGGGTGCGCGGGCAGGGGGTGCGCGGGGCGCGCGCGCGCGTGCGCTGCGTACGTTGTCGGGCGCGTTGGGGGCTGGCTGTGCGCGTGGCTTGGGCTGCATTCGTGGCTGCGCTCGCGCGCGGGCCGGGGGCGTCGCGCCGGGTAACGGTGGCCGTGGAAGGAGCTCGGGCTGCGCACGGGCCGTTGGGCGCGCCCAAGGATGGGGGGCGCGCGCGCGGCGTGCGTGGAGCGTCTCGGCCTAGCAGCGAAACGCGAATCGGGCAAGCAGAGGGCGCGCGCCACCATGACGCACGGTTATTCCGACCGCGATGTCCTTGCTCTGCTTGAAGCCGTCGGGGAATCCGCCTTCGCCGGAGCGGGTCGCCGGGCCCAGGCGCGCGGCGCGCGAGGGGGGTGAGCGGGCTGTTTGCGCCGATCTGTGTCGCAGGTGAAATGGATCCATTTTGTGTAGGCGTTGGACGCGGAGCCACGCGAAAGGTCCGCGATGCATTACGTGGCGACTGCGAGAATGATGGCGAAATGCGTCGGATCGGCGCTCGCCGAAGATTTCGCGGACGCTTCTATCAAGGAGGTGTTGGCCGCGGGATTACCGGCGGCCAACTCGCAGCCGTTCAAAGCCGGGGAGGGCAAGGGCTGGGCGGAGTTCAGGGTAACTCCTGCCCACCGTGCCTTGGCCCTCCGCGTTCAGGGCCGCGCACGGGCTCGCGCATGTCTTGCGATCCGCCGCGGGGCCCATTGCTTCGGGGGGGCGTTGCGCAGGGTGTTGCCCCGGGCCCCGCGAGCAGCGGCGACCTCACGAAGGCGACGGGCGCGATGGCAGAATATGTGCAGGCGTCGCGCGAGCAGATGGATAAGGAGAAGAAGACCGATAATTTGTCATTCACGTTCCAGGTCCTTGGTCCCGCGGCGGCGAGCCAGAGTGGGGGGGGGCGCGGCTGCGGCGCGCGCCGGAGCGGATCAGGGAGGTCGGGCTCGACGCCTTTCCAGGCGAGGCCCTCCCGACGGAGGAGGCCATGCTTCGTTTCGAAGAGCTCGCGAAGGCGCCGCCGGCAGAGCGCGCGCCGGGCGAGCGCGGCGCGGCGTGCGCGGCACAGGCCGCGGCAGCCAAGGGCCGGCATTATTTGGGGAGTGCCGAGGGTGAAGACTTGCAGTTGCATTTCAAGCCGCCGTGGAGCCGTGTGCCAGATCTGGACATGGCGCTGCGCGATGCCCCGTTTTTCTTGCGCGCGCGAGGGGGGGGCGCGGTCGCGCGGCGCTCCGAGGTCTTGCCCGGGGGCTCGGCAGAGAGCCGCGCCAAAGAGGTCGCGGCGGCCAAGCGGGCGGCCATGGCGACGACTGGTGTGGACTTCGCGTCATATGCCGATTTCCAGGACGCGAAGGGACCCGCGCAACCGCGCGGTGCGCGCGGGGGGGGCAAGTTTCGGCGCAGTACCGTTCGCGGGCAGGCGTAGCTGCTTGAATGGGGAATGCGCTGCATCACCACCCAGGTTTTCACGCCGGTGGTGCGGCTGGCTTACCAATGGCAGCTGAGCCGGATTGCGGGGGAGCACGGTGGGACCCGCACCGCGTATTTCTATGATGTCGCCATGTGGTAGAAGGCGGGGGCGTTGTGCAGGGGGGGCGCGCGCCGGGCGCGATGCGAACCCCCCCGTTCGCAGGCCGCGCGCGCGCTGGAGCAGGGCGCGGGCGGCGTTGATGCGCTGCTGCGCACCCTGGACTGGGGCGTGCTCAAGGCCGCCAAGGCCAAGGCGGAGTCCAAGTCTAAGGGAGCGGCAGCGGCGAAGCCGAGGCGGGGTTCGCCGCCCAGTCCGCCGGAGGCCGCGCGGCGATGCGCCGCGCGCCAGGGCGGGCCAGGGGGCGGAGAGTCGTGCGCCTGACAACAGGAGAGTCCACGGGATGTTTCCGTCTGCGCGGCCGCGATCCACCGTGTGCAGGCCGGTCCAGAGCCCGAAGAGGCCGCCCAAGGCGTGGGGCGCGGCGAGGTCCCGCTCGCCTCGCGGCGGCCGGGGGTCTTCCGCGCCCGCGCGCGGCTCCGGCGCCGGCAAGCAGCGGGCCGCCAAGAGCGGTGAGGGTATGTGGGTGCCGTGGAGCGAATGGAAGAAGAGCGGCCACAAGAAGTGACGGCGCACCGTCACGCCGATTGCTGTTGCATGGAATAATTTGCCGTGGGAAAGCGAGGCACGACGCGCGCGATTGCCCCGTGCGAACCCGCGAGGGGGTCGATCGCGACCGCCGCGGGGGGGGGCAGGCAGCGCGGGGAGATAGTGGAGAAATTGACGAGCGCTGGGATAGCGAGGCATCGCTGCACCCGGGCGCGGTCGGGGAAACATGCGTTGACGAGGCCCGCAAGTGCCGCCCATGTAGCAGTCGCGCGCGCGTTGCGGCGTTGCAGGGAAATTTGCCGGGGAATAGCGAGGCACGACGCGCGCGCTGGCCCGCGCGAACCCGCGAGGGGGTCGATCGCGATCACCGCGGGGGGGGGGGGCAGAGTGGGAAGATAGTGCAGGAATTGACGAGCGCTGGGACGGCGAGGCATCGCTGCCCCCCGGCGCGGTCGAGGGGCCTTTCGTTGACGAGGCTCGCCGTTGTCGCCCATGGCGCGGTCGCGCGCGCGGGCCGCGGTGGCGAGGCTTGCGCTTCAGACACGCTTGCCTTGCGGCAAGCGGTGGGGGACTTGCTATCAGACGAGGAAAGAATCAAGCGGATGTCCCCGCTGGATCACTGGGGGTGGGCCCAGCGCCTCCCCGAGTGCGAGGGGCCCAAGCAGCTCCCTGCTGCATGGGCGGACGCGGTGGGCGCGCGCGCTGCCCTCGAGGGGCGCGACCTGCACCGCCGCCGGGCGGCCGCCTGGCATTACTGGGAGAATCGCAAACGGGTGCTGGACCCGGCGTGGCAGGTGGCGGCGCGCCCGCGCGCGCGGCCTCGCCCGTGGGTCAGCGTCGTTGGAGGCGCATTTTCAGGGGCTTCCGCCTCGCGTGCAAGCCGTGCTGGGGCCGAAGAAAAATCTGTGGCTCTTGCAGGCATCGGGGCTGGGGTGCGGGCCAGCGCGGGGTGGCCGCCCTCTGCGCGCCCGACCCTTGCAGGAAATGTTGGCGGCGGCAAGGGTGAGCGATGCGGACCTCGCGCTGCAAATCGAGAGGGGCTTCCCTCTGGTAGGCGAATTGCCAGTGTCGGGCGGTATGGAGCGGGTGGCGACGAGGGATTTCCGTGACCCCCCGTCGCTCCACCGCGAAGCGCCGCGCCTGAATGCTGACGCGGTCCGCCGGGTCGCGGGCGATCGCGCCCACGGCGGGGAATTGCGGCGAGAGTTTCTGCACAAGGCAAGCGAGGAGGCGCGCGGGGAGGGGGCCTTTTCCCGCGGCACCGAGCCGCGCATGTGCGCGCCCGAGCGCGCGCTCAGGTAGAAATGGGCAAAGGCGCATGGTGCCCGTTGGACCAGGCTTGCCGAGACGCGGGGTTGACTCCCAGATTTCCGGTCGATGAGGGATGGCGCTGGAAACAGGAGGGCGGCTGGAGGCGCAAGGTGCGGCGCGAGCCGCCTTTCGGGTCTCTCGCGGGCCGCCTTTTCCGCGGCGCCGAGCCGCGCGGGCCGCCTTTTTCCCGCGGCACCGAGCCGCGCGAAGCGAGAGCGGCTTCTAGCGATCGCAGCAGGTGCGCGTAATTGATGATTTCTCGGCGAGCTTGATTATTGAGTGTACCGCGCCGACGGAGCGCATCCGGATGGAGACTCTCGATGTGCTCGTCAGCTTGGCGCGGGCTCTGCGGGGCCGGGGGCCCTTGAGGCTCCGCAAAGAGGATTTCGTGCGGGCATTCAAGACCCTGCCGCTGGCACTGTCTGCCCTGTGCATGGCGGCGGCCGTCTGGGGGTAGGCGGCACAGGAGGGCTGGGCACTGCAGCTGTGGTGCTGCCTGTTCGGTGCGGTGGCGAGCGTGTATGCCTGGGAGCGGCCTGGAGGCGCTGTACAGGTGCGAGTGCCCTCTTCCTCCCCGGAAGCGGCGGGGCGCGCCGCGCGCGCTGCAGGCGATCCTGGGCCGGCTTTTCTTCGCCCCAACTGGGAGATTCGTGGACGACTTGTTCGGAATCGACCCGGAGGGAGGCTGGGCGGAGGGGCCCATAGCGGGGGCCGCTGGAGCATCTCGGGTGACGCGCTTCGTAATCGAGACTTTGTTGGGCTGGGAATTGGACGAGGAGAAGCGCGCGTCGTCGGCCGAGTCGGCCGAGGTCCTGGGCGTAACGGTTACGGTAATCAATAAGCCGGTGGGCCACTGTCGCGCCCCGCCGGTCGACCGGGGGGGGGCGCGTGGTCGGCCGGCTCGCGAGTTCTGTTGCGCAGGAACAGGCGCTGGCTTTCAGCATCCCGCCTGAGAAAGTGGCCAAGTGGAGGAGCTCCATTGAGCAGGTCCTCCAGTCTGGCCAGCTGTCGCCCGCGGGTGCGGCCAAGCTGGCGGGAAAGCTTGGGCGGGGCGCTTCCGCCGTCTTCGGCAGGTGTGCCCGCGTTTACTTGGCTCCGCTTTTCCATTGGTCCACCGGGAGGCGAACGGTGTTGACCACGCGCTTGAGGCGCACGCTCGAATGGTGGCTGCGATTCTTGGCCACCGCGCCCCAGCGGCATGTCCCGCTGCGGTGGCGAGCAAAGCAGCGCGTGCTTGTTTACTCGGATGCGACGGGCGGCGGCGGGTCGCGTGCGCTGCGTGCCGTCCCGCCCCCGCTGCCGGGTGTGGAATGGCGTGAGGTTGGCATGGGTGGTCGATGACGGCTCCCGGAGAAGGTATGCCGCGGCGGACGTGCCTGCGGCCCTACGGGGCTGGGTGGTGCGCCGGAAAGTGCAGGCGCCCGCGCGCGCGCGGCCGCGAGGGCCGAACGTGGGTGTTGCGGGGCGCGCGCGGTGCGCAGGTGGCCACTTGGGAACTCGTGGCGGCACTCTGCACTCTGGGGACGGTGCTTGCGGAGTATGGCGACATCGACATTGTTTGCTTCATTGACTCCGCTGTCGCCCTGGGCGCGATCGTGCGGGGAGCATCGCGCCAACCCGACTGGAATGCCTTGGTCGGGAACCTGTGGTTCGGGGCGGCGACCGAAGGGTGCGCCATATGGGCCTTTCGCGTGCCCTCCGCACAGAATCCAGCGGACGCGCCTACCCGCCCGGAGTCCAAGTGGCGCGAGTTGGAGGCCACGCATCGCGCAGGCTTCTCAGAAGAAGCGTGGCAGTGGCCCGCGCAACCGCCCTGGCAGTGATGCCATCCGCGGGGGACCGCGCCCCGCGCGGGGCGCTGTGGGCTCGCCCTCCCCCCCCCTCCTTTTGCAGGGGAAGGGCGCGGGGCCGGGGCGTTTCGGGCGTGCGTGGAGTCCGCGGGCCACCGCGAGTGTTTGTGCATGAAGGCATGCAGCGCGATCCGCCTCCGAAGGGCGCGGGAGGGATGCTCGCATCGTTTGGGGCGCGCGCGGAGTCCGCGGGCCACCGCGGGCGTTTTGTGTATAAAGGCATGCAGCGCGATCCGCCTCCGAATGGCGACTTGCTTGCTCTTGTGCGCATGGCCGTGAATGCAGCGCCGGCCGGGCGGGCGCTGAATCCAGAGTCGGTGGCGTTGGTTATGTTGCAGGGGGGAATCAAAGGCGTCGAGGTCGCGGGCGCGCGCGCGTTCGCGCGGAGCTGCAGGGCGCCGCGCCCGGCCGCGAGAATCTCGAGGGCCTGGCAGGCTGCGAGTTGGAATTGGTCTGGCCCGCCTTGAAGCGGACGCCTGGCCTGGCGGACCAACTCGCGGCGTGCGTGAAGACCCGCAAGCGACGGCGTGTGACAGTGGGGCCGGCGTGCGCGCCCCGGCCGGGGGCGCCCGTGTCGCGGCCCGTGCACGTGCGCGGGTGCGTGCGTCTTTCGTTCGCAGGCCAATCCCGGCGGGGCGGCGAGAGCTCTGGAAGCGCAGCCCTGGCGGGCGCCCGCCGCGGTGCATCCGCGCCTGGAGGAGGTGCGGGCCGCGCTGCGAGAGCTGGTCCAGGCCAGGGAGAGGGGGTGTCCACCGTGCCCGTTGCGGCTGGCCTGCCTCCTCAGGCTGCTAGGAAGGGCCACCGGACCCCCGGCGGCGCTCGGCCTACCAGCGCGGCCTTCCGAGGGAGGCGAGGCGCTGATCGCCGCGGGAATTAATAGCTATCGGCGCGAGATGAGCAGCCTTACTGCCGCGTGGGTAGAGATGGGCCAGTGGCGCAAAACTGCGGCCCAGTACGCCTCATCAGTGGCGTGCTGGGGATTGTGCTGCAGGTCCTGTAATAAAGGGGGGGTGCAGTCGCGCCGCCCGCGACGCGCGTGCCCACCGCGCGAGCGCGCAGGGCGGCGGGGGTCGAGCCTCGGCCGCCGAGCGGGCCTGCGCTCGAGGTTTTGATCACCGCGTGCCGGTCGGCAGCGACGCTGTCGCAGTGCGCTTCGAGGATATGGTCAGTGCTGCGCCTCCTCCGCGCCCCCGCGGGGGTGCTGGACGCCGTGGGAGGCGTCGCGAAGGGAGCGCAGAAATGCGAGGACCGGTCGGCGCGGCGGTATCGCGCCAGGGCGAGTGCGGAACAGACGCGCGAGCTGGCGGCGTGGGTCCGGCGTGAAACTGGGCGCGACGACGTGGCTGATTCTTTCCTTGTAGCCAGGCCTGCGCGAGCGTGCCGAGGGGGGAGGGCCGGGTTCCTTACCGTCGGTGCTCTTCGTGCCCTAGGCAGTTCTGCTTAAGGTTTGGGGCGGAAGTCGTCGGCCTGAATGGCAACGGCCACTCGGCGGTGTCGACATTCGAGGAGGCATCCCCGGCGGCCGCGGGCACGGGGGGGTGGGGGGCGCGCGCGCGCCGTCCCGTTCCGCGTCGCAGGCCGGCAAGAGAGGCGCTTGTATTATTCTGGCACTGCGCAAATGCCGCAGGGAGCCCCAGCAATTGTGGCGGAAGTGTGTGTGTGTGTGTGGTGTGTGTGTGTGCGCGACATCCAGGGGCGGCGCCTCTGCGGGGTCTGTGTGCTGCACCGCAGGGCGTCGCGCGCTGGGTCGCTTGTGTTCCCGGGCCTGACATACGCGGATTCGCTGTCGCTGTTAGAGGTAGCTGCAATGGCGCTGGCACTGCCGCGCGCGGCGGAATGGGGTACCCATGCTTTCCGCAGGGGCAGGGCCGACGAGGTGCTCAGGTCGCAGGGCCCGGCGGCCATGTTCGCTCAGGGCGGGGGGCGCAGCGTGGCAGCCTGGGCGTGCCCGTCAGCCAGGGCCATGAGCGAGACTCTGGCGGCGGAGGAGGCCATTGGGCACTCGGACAGCTCCGGGGGGGAGGAGCCTGGATAGAGGGTGTCGGACAGCTCCGACTCCGAGCGAGAGGGCCTCAGCGATGCCGTGCGCACGACGCATGCGTTGGGGTGCGAGGGACAGAGCGGGGCAGAGCTATGGGGGGGAGTGTGCGCTGGCTGGCACGGCGGGCTGCGGCTGGGCGCGCATTTGGTCGGCGTGCGGGGTGCACCATGGGGTCGCCCTACGCCGCGAGCCCGACCGTCCTGTCCGCCGCGCCAAGACGTCTGCGCCCTTTGCTGGCGCGGCGCTGCACCGAGGGAATTTATATACCCTGTAAAGCGGATGTTTGGCAGGCGTATAAATTCCTGGTGCCGTCCCGCGTTCGACTACCTCCGTACCTCTGTCACTCAATCGCTCTTTCGCTCCTCCGAGCCTGGCGCTCTTGACTCAGTCGCTCTTTCGCTTCCCCGAGCCTCGCGCTGCTCGCCAGGGCTGTAGTGCTGCTGCCTCGTCTGTCGGCTTCGAGTCTCGGGTGGGCCGCCGTGCCTCTCGGTGGCGGCCCGTGCCCACCGTCCGCCCGGGCCCGTGGCGGGATAGCAAGTAACGGCCGAAGGGCAGGCGGGCCCCTGCGGGGGCCCAGGGGCCTGCGAGGGTCAGGAGCAGGCGGGCCCCCGAAGGGGCCCACGCGCTTGCGGCCGCAGATTGTCTGTCCCATGGCAGGCGGGCCACTGCGGGGGCCCACGCGCCTGCGGGCTTCCCTTTTCCCCGCCCTCACCACTCTTTGGCCTCTCGGCTTTTGGGGGGGGCTTGTCGGGGGAATCCGTAGTGCAGCGCACGCGGCCAGGCTACGGGGCCGGGTCGGCGCGCGGGGTGCACCATGGGGTCGCCCTACGCCGCCAGCCCGACCGCCGTGTCCGCCGCGCCAAGACGTCTGCGCCCTTTGCTGGCGCGGCGCTGCACCGAGGGAATTTATTGAGGAGACGTTATGCGTCCTTTGGGGCTACCCCTACCTCGGCCGACAAGGACTTCGCCCTCCGCAACCTGCAGGCGAAGATGTATCAGGCCATCCACGACGAGGGAATGAAATGGATTCCTCCTGACACACGCGCAGGGGCACCTGCGGAAGTAAATGGTGCTGCTGAGAAGTTTGATATATTTACTCCAAGCAGCAGTTCTGCAGCGCAGCACGGCATTGGTATTTGGACGCCCCCATCGCCAAACGAGTGGCGGGGGCAGGCGCGCGCCACGGCCACTCGCGCTTGCAAGGACAGGCCGACCATTCAGGTGCTGTCAGCAAACGCGGGGAAGCCTGCAATCTTTTCCCGAGCACCGGCTGTGCGCGCCAGGGGCCGCGGCGAGCCCGGCTGCGCGGCTGCCGCAGACAGCAGTGGACCCGGTTGGGTGGCCGCTGCAGAAAAAGAAGGATTGTCGTCGCGGGCGATGTTTCCCCCCCAATCCCCGAGTTTCGCCCGAAAAGTTTCGCCGTTCAGAAAAATGGGAAAACCTTGGGATACACCCCAAGGAGGCCATTCGGACGCACCCCTACCGAGCATGGACACCCCCACCATCGTATATCCCAGGGTTGGGCCCCAAATTTCTGGTCCATTTGGAAACCCCACGAAGCCTGGGATAGGGGTCGACACATCCCCTGTTATGTCGCATCATGATCATTCTCGTGCATTCGTTATTGAGGATATACGGACAGCTTGCGCTGAACTCCGAGCCCATGGATATGTGCGATCGTACCACACGTACAGAGGTGATGACCTCCACTGGTACACAGTACTTGGGTGCGCTACTTTCGGGCGATTACCAACTGTTGTGGGTTGCAACACCTGCCGACTGGCATGTGAGGCTGCCTGGCAACAGGGCAGGGCCACATTGCCAGCGCACCCAAAATATGATGTCAAAGGCTCGGGCTCTACGTATGACTATTGTACTTGTGGGACCACCGGGGCATTTCTGGAGACAGGGTCCCATACGAGATGTGATTGAAGATCTTAATTTGCAAGTCATGCGCATGCGCTTCTGCCACCTCGGCCTCAAGTACGACCGCGCGAACAAGCTGCCCTACGCGCTCGCGCATCCCCACCAATTTATGGAGATGCACGTGCAACAGAGCAGGGAAACCTGCAGATCCTATTGAGCATATTCTGGATTGGTACGGACAAGGTGCTCGGAAAGCCGATTGGCGGAATAAGACACTAGCGATCATGACCGCAAGGTTGATCGATCAAATGGATTTACATGAAACGCAAAGAGACCACGCAAGTGCTGTACATCTGAGTATTCATACTCGTGTTGATAAAGGAGTTCGAGCCTACGTTCAGTCCCCTAAGAATGGCCCTGAATGGGACCATGTTGTGAGACGGGTGACTCGTGACTATGAACCTGGACGACAACGTGATTATCCAGGACATCAAGATCCAGGTCCAGCCGACTGGGTACAACTATAACGCACCATTACCGGATGGTGTTACTAATATCCGTACTCGACTATACTGGGAGCAGCCGGAACCAACCCTTCTGGAAGACGGCAGTTCACGACCACGCTCAAGGCTAGTGGCGATCATCGATGACGATCGTCTTCCTCCCCCTTCGATTGAGCGCGGCAGCGTGCCACCCTCTATTCCAGAATTTCCGACACTTAGCTTACCAGAAACAGAGCAACAGACAGCGCGACCAACAGATGCCAGTTGTTTTTTATACAAAAGAGGAGAAGAAGATCAAAAAAAAAAGAAACTGGCATCAAACCACACAAGATACCCCAAATAGTCGAAGAAGGCAACGACGAATGTGGAGACGACCTCAAAGGACTCGGATGCAGCGCGTACTACACCGATGTACCTTTGGACTCCGACACGGATAGTAACGGTGAAGAGGAGGCCGTCATCCATCGACCTGCGGGGCAACCTGCTGAATCCGATGCAGATGTATTCTCCATA